CTGCAAGTGCCCCAGCTTCTCCAGCTGCTGGAAAACGTAACAGCCACAGTACGCTGTTAGGAACAGCCTTTAAAATCTCAACCCACATCCGCATTGTTGACGGATCAACCTTGTACAGTTGATTAAAGTTGCAAAATACAACAGCATCCTCCGGCAAGCCGTAATGTTGTCTAGAGGTTAGTATTAGGTCACGTGGCACTTCCTCACCAGCTGAGGCTTTCGATTGTGTTTGCTGTGTCACCAAACCATTGTGAATGACCACGCCATTGATGGTACAGGAAGGACTATTCGTACGTATCATATTTTGAATAGGTTGTAAGGATGGAATAGTTAAGACCGTTAGCTTCACAAAATAAGATACTTCTTTCCGTTGGTTACCGTGAACCTCAACCAAGCGCCCTCCGTAGTTGACCTCACGTATACAAGCCACTTGCAACAAGGGTTTGATATCCAGACCGCTGACCACGATAGAATTATCCATCACGCGACGACCAGCAGTAGCATCTTCAGCACTCTCTAGAACTACCCGATTGCGTAAGTGAGGAAACATTTGCTGGTGGTCTCCGATAAAGAATGTCTTGGGCATATAAGCTAACTTCTCAGAGTACTGGTGACCAAGGTGAAGAGGTGACGTGACCATATCTGTAATTATGTAATCCATAAACGTCGAACCACTTGTGCCTGGATAACCCAACCACATAGCTTGAATGGGTGCGGGTTTTAGCGCAAATATTTCGTTACGAGCACCTTTCGTGTAGCCATTCATATTCAGTAGGATATGGATCCCATCACTAGCAATCTTATCAGCAGCTTTCCCATGACATTGAATCCCACTCAAGTCAATAAAGTGTTCGGCTTCATTCGCCACCTTGGCTCGGAAGTTGGTACCATCATCTGGTGCCAGCGAGTAACAAAATACCTCAACTTTTGTTCGATCGTGCAAACCAGGAATGCTTTGCATCAAGTGGCTAGTCGGATGATTGCAGAAGTCAGAGCTAACATACCCAATCCTCAAGCGCTGACCAGCAGGTAACTTTTTGGCAAACCTGAACGGTTGATGGTGTAACAGAGAAACCTTCTCTAAGCAGAGAGAGGCGTGCTTTCCGGCTATCTTTTTACGCTGTTCATGTGTCAGTGGATATAGCATAGAGTGATGCGGATGTACAGATGGTAGGCGGTTGGATTCTAACTGATCCTGAACCATAGAGACGAGTTTCTTCATTCTATGCTTGTAGTCAGTCCAGTCACACACAATTTGTAAGCAGTGAGCAAGGTTACAAAAAGCATCTGGGAAATTGGGTTTCAACTTAAGTGCAGTCTTGTAGGACGTTATGGCCTCCGCGAGATTACCACTGTCCTTTAGGATGCTGGCTAAGTTTGAGTGAGCGTCGGCAAACGCAGGGTTGATTTGTATAGCTCTTTGGTAGCACTGCATTGCGCCCTGAACATCTTGCAACTCCTTTAACGTGTTCCCCATATTAGAGTAGGCATCAGCAAATGTTGGTGATATGCGAATCGCCTCTCGATAATGCAACAAAGCTTCCTGAAGTTTCCCCTGCAACTGAAGCATACTGGCGAGGTTGGAATGAGCCACTGCAAACTCAGGATATATCTCTAGAGCTCGAACGTACAACCGTATAGCTTCTTCAGCTTTTCCCTGCTCACGTTTAATATTAGCTAGATTGTTCAGTGAGTCCGCATGCGTAGGACATAGTCTTAAAGCCGTATTGTAATAATCCTCTGCGTCCGAAACCTTTCCTTTTTCTTTGAGAGCATTAGCCAAGTTGCAGTAAGCATCGGGGAAGTTGGGTTGCAATTCAATTGCCCTTTTGTATGTGTCGATTGCGAGGTCTATCAAGTTCTGCTCGTAGTAAACACAGGCCAAGTTCCCGTGAACGACAGCGTTGTTCGGAGATAATGTTAGAGCTCTCAGATAGGCTGCTACCGCTCGATCAAATATTCGGGCCTCCTTGAGTACATTTCCTAGGTTTACATACGCGTCCAGGAAGGTGGGATCTAATGTTACAGCCTAGGAAACGATTAATTAAATCAATGAAACCTACCTTCTCAAAGTGGTGGATTGCCAACCATATTTCATTTTGAGCGTTGAAGACGCAACCAAGATTGCTCCAAGCCACTGCAAAAGTTGGACAGGTCTCGATCGCCTTTAGGTAGCATGACTACAAAGAGGAAAAAACACGTAATGATATGGGGAAGACGAGTGTGCTGAGCGGCTGCCAACCAACAGGTCTACAGCTATGCATGCGAGCGCCAAATGTACCTACAACATACAGCGACTCACCACTCCTGAGCCGAACTTGATGTGAAATAACTTAAAGCGCAGTGCAAAACTTGCACCTTTAAGGAATCGCGCGAAGGGTATTAGGAAGGGGAACTCACGAATGCATTTGTTCACAGAACCAGTTCGGACCGAAGGATTGACGGGACAGCGGCCAACCGGAGACTGCACACACATAGCTGTTTGAAAGAAAAAACCTCGTTCATTAGAAAGGCTGTAGGTTGTCTGGAAAGTTTGGTTGGATAAAATAGGCAGCGCGGCGGCAGTGAAAACCGCTATTTCAAAAAAGAAAACACATAGCAAAAAACATCCAAGCAAAGAATCGCAGCGCGCCGCGGCGACTCATATGCCGCCTTACTTTCGCCTCATCCAAGCGTCCAAGAGCCTTCAGTAGGTTTCCGAGATCACTCCGTACACAATACAATTCCTAGGAAATACAATAATATGGATGGAGAACATACTGGATTGTATTGTAATGCTGTGGCATAGGCATTCACTGCAGACTCCATGTCTCCCGCTGCGACTAATGCAGCAGCCAAGTTAATGTATCCATCAATAAAATCTGGCTTGATTCTCAATGCGTGTCTATAGTTGTCGATTGCTTCCTTCAGTTGTCCTCGTTCTTTGAAGACATTTCCGAGGTTAGAATAAGCTTCTGCCATCAGAGGATTTTGTTTGATCGCAAGTTGACTGAAGTAAGCTGATCGATCCATTCGTCGACATTGGAAATGTATAGAACTAAGTAGTAATAAAGTCGATGTGTTTTCAGGATCTTGGTGCCACAATTGCATACAATGTTGTTCTGCACGTTCATAATCACCAGCTTGGTACTCTCTATGCGCCAATTCAGCAAGACCTGAAGAAAGAAAACAGTAAATAACACGAAACGACAAACGAAAACAAGCCTAACGAACAAGTACCCACTTGCAACGTCTGTAAGACGTAGGAGAGAACGTCTTTCAATCATATCGCTTGTAGACTAATTAAGATGAAACACAATGTCGCTTAGCGCCGTCGCCATATATTGAATCCAGTTGGATTGACAAAACAAAGGAAACCATTCAAACAAAATAACTATAGTCACCAAGATACAGCAAAAATCACCTAAATTTAATTTATGGAACAATAAACAGAACTCCTCTAAATGAAATATGAGTATCTGAATACTGAAATGGAGAACTAATCTCAGTCGTAATACTCTTGTGATCATTAGCGTGCCGGAGTTAAACAGACGGTTTTATTGAAATTTGTATATTCTTTATGCACATTACGAGGATTTCCAATTTTTTAATAGTGGTCAATTTGATGATTTAATTCAGTTCAATTATAATACACGTAATTTGTACCCTTACGGGTTCCAGATTCGTTAAGTGGAACACACATTTTTCATCTTTTGTCTAGTACATCGAATCCGACTGTGGATAAATTTCGAAACTTCCAAAATTATGAATCAAAAGAAACTTTGTTATCTGCACCATTGAAATAATTCTTGTGAGTGACTTTAGAATAGAAACAATTTTTTCAGTGTGAGAGGCACTTGATGACGGCAAAGCGGCATCTTCACTAAGAGCGTCGATGAATTTCATTGCAGGTTCCTCATACTTCCGCTTTTGTGGTATTAAAAGGAACTTCACTTGTTTAGAATTGAGGGACATCATTCAACGCACTGTCTGCAAAGTGTTATAAGAGGGGCTTCAATACACTGCCTCAATATACTACTGGTCACAATGTTTACAATGTGAAAGTAAAGATATATGAGACTGGCTGGGAGGAAAGAGACGTATTTCCTCATACAGAAGGCGATGTCATCAGAATTTAGAACTTTTTCATCCTTACTGACGCCTTAATTGGCATTCCCAATACACTAAGTTAGTTATTCAGCCTCAGCGTTTCCACATTTTCTGCCTGAAATTTGCAGTCTATGCGGTTCTTGAATCTAGATGTTCAAATTTATTATCATGGCCAGTGGAACTACACATATAACGACCAGCAGTTAGCCATCGTGGGGATATCCTACTTCAGTGATATTACCCATATATGCAGAATAATGGTACCAGTTCCAACCTAGTGGAATCGCTGTGTATACAATACAATATTTAGAGTATATTTCAGAAAATTTCACTTAACTACCAGAAAAAATGAGATAAGAATTCTCACTAGAGCTTCAGCGTGACAATTTTCACAAAATGGCAAATCAGTCAGATAGACCGTATTCAGAAATTTTACTTATTACCCACTAACAGGAACTATTACGCGATTTTTGCAGAAATTAACTGGTTCCCGAGATTTGGGAACACCAGTTTGGTGAAATGTCATATATTTAATTAGTTCAACACATTGCCAGTCCCCAAACTCTCAGTTTCACACTAATACACACTTTCGGCATCATAAACGAAAAATATCAGTATCATAAGGAAGCAACGAGCCCTGCCAAAGGAGGCCGAGAAACACAAGTTCAACTTAATGTTGCATCAAAGTCAATATGTGAAACGATTTGCAAACTGTCTGGAGGCATTTGTGACGTGATTCCACAGTTAGTCATTTTCCATATACGAATTAACTTAATACATATTCTCAATATCACTGCAAACGTCTGTATAACTCCGGCACGCTAATGATCACAAGAGTATTACGACTGAGATTAGTTCTCCATTTCAGTATTCAGATACTCATATTTCATTTAGAGGAGTTCTGTTTATTGTTCCATAAATTAAATTTAGGTGATTTTTGCTGTATCTTGGTGACTATAGTTATTTTGTTTGAAAGGTTTCCTTTGTTTTGTCAATCCAACTGGATTCAATATATGGCGACGGCGCTAAGCGACATTGTGTTTCATCTTAATAGTCTAATTAGTCTACAAGCGATATGATTGAAAGACGTTCTCTCCTACGTCTTACAGACGTTGCAAGTGGGTACTTGTTCGTTAGGCTTGTTTTCGTTTGTCGTTTCGTGTTATTTACTGTTTTCTTTCTTCAGGTCTTGCTGAATTGGCGCATAGAGAGTACCAAGCTGGTGATTATGAACGTGCAGAACAACATTGTATGCAATTGTGGCACCAAGATCCTGAAAACACATCGACTTTATTACTACTTAGTTCTATACATTTCCAATGTCGACGAATGGATCGATCAGCTTACTTCAGTCAACTTGCGATCAAACAAAATCCTCTGATGGCAGAAGCTTATTCTAACCTCGGAAATGTCTTCAAAGAACGAGGACAACTGAAGGAAGCAATCGACAACTATAGACACGCATTGAGAATCAAGCCAGATTTTATTGATGGATACATTAACTTGGCTGCTGCATTAGTCGCAGCGGGAGACATGGAGTCTGCAGTGAATGCCTATGCCACAGCATTACAATACAATCCAGTATGTTCTCCATCCATATTATTGTATTTCCTAGGAATTGTATTGTGTACGGAGTGATCTCGGAAACCTACTGAAGGCTCTTGGACGCTTGGATGAGGCGAAAGTAAGGCGGCATATGAGTCGCCGCGGCGCGCTGCGATTCTTTGCTTGGATGTTTTTTGCTATGTGTTTTCTTTTTTGAAATAGCGGTTTTCACTGCCGCCGCGCTGCCTATTTTATCCAACCAAACTTTCCAGACAACCTACAGCCTTTCTAATGAACGAGGTTTTTTCTTTCAAACAGCTATGTGTGTGCAGTCTCCGGTTGGCCGCTGTCCCGTCAATCCTTCGGTCCGAACTGGTTCTGTGAACAAATGCATTCGTGAGTTCCCCTTCCTAATACCCTTCGCGCGATTCCTTAAAGGTGCAAGTTTTGCACTGCGCTTTAAGTTATTTCACATCAAGTTCGGCTCAGGAGTGGTGAGTCGCTGTATGTTGTAGGTACATTTGGCGCTCGCATGCATAGCTGTAGACCTGTTGGTTGGCAGCCGCTCAGCACACTCGTCTTCCCCATATCATTACGTGTTTTTTCCTCTTTGTAGTCATGCTACCTAAAGGCAATCGAGACCTGTCCAACTTTTGCAGTGGCTTGGAGCAATCTTGGTTGCGTCTTCAACGCTCAAAATGAAATATGGTTGGCAATCCACCACTTTGAGAAGGTAGGTTTCATTGATTTAATTAATCGTTTCCTAGGCTGTAACATTAGATCCCACCTTCCTGGACGCGTATGTAAACCTAGGAAATGTACTCAAGGAGGCCCGAATATTTGATCGAGCGGTAGCAGCCTATCTGAGAGCTCTAACATTATCTCCGAACAACGCTGTCGTTCACGGGAACTTGGCCTGTGTTTACTACGAGCAGAACTTGATAGACCTCGCAATCGACACATACAAAAGGGCAATTGAATTGCAACCCAACTTCCCCGATGCTTACTGCAACTTGGCTAATGCTCTCAAAGAAAAAGGAAAGGTTTCGGACGCAGAGGATTATTACAATACGGCTTTAAGACTATGTCCTACGCATGCGGACTCACTGAACAATCTAGCTAATATTAAACGTGAGCAGGGAAAAGCTGAAGAAGCTATACGGTTGTACGTTCGAGCTCTAGAGATATATCCTGAGTTTGCAGTGGCTCATTCCAACCTCGCCAGTATGCTTCAGTTGCAGGGAAAACTTCAGGAAGCTTTGTTGCATTATCGAGAGGCGATTCGCATATCACCAACATTTGCTGATGCCTACTCTAATATGGGGAACACGTTAAAGGAGTTGCAAGATGTTCAGGGCGCAATGCAGTGCTACCAAAGAGCTATACAAATCAACCCTGCGTTTGCCGACGCTCACTCAAACTTAGCCAGCATCCTAAAGGACAGTGGTAATCTCGCGGAGGCCATAACGTCCTACAAGACTGCACTTAAGTTGAAACCCAATTTCCCAGATGCTTTTTGTAACCTTGCTCACTGCTTACAAATTGTGTGTGACTGGACTGACTACAAGCATAGAATGAAGAAACTCGTCTCTATGGTTCAGGATCAGTTAGAATCCAACCGCCTACCATCTGTACATCCGCATCACTCTATGCTATATCCACTGACACATGAACAGCGTAAAAAGATAGCCGGAAAGCACGCCTCTCTCTGCTTAGAGAAGGTTTCTCTGTTACACCATCAACCGTTCAGGTTTGCCAAAAAGTTACCTGCTGGTCAGCGCTTGAGGATTGGGTATGTTAGCTCTGACTTCTGCAATCATCCGACTAGCCACTTGATGCAAAGCATTCCTGGTTTGCACGATCGAACAAAAGTTGAGGTATTTTGTTACTCGCTGGCACCAGATGATGGTACCAACTTCCGAGCCAAGGTGGCGAATGAAGCCGAACACTTTATTGACTTGAGTGGGATTCAATGTCATGGGAAAGCTGCTGATAAGATTGCTAGTGATGGGATCCATATCCTACTGAATATGAATGGCTACACGAAAGGTGCTCGTAACGAAATATTTGCGCTAAAACCCGCACCCATTCAAGCTATGTGGTTGGGTTATCCAGGCACAAGTGGTTCGACGTTTATGGATTACATAATTACAGATATGGTCACGTCACCTCTTCACCTTGGTCACCAGTACTCTGAGAAGTTAGCTTATATGCCCAAGACATTCTTTATCGGAGACCACCAGCAAATGTTTCCTCACTTACGCAATCGGGTAGTTCTAGAGAGTGCTGAAGATGCTACTGCTGGTCGTCGCGTGATGGATAATTCTATCGTGGTCAGCGGTCTGGATATCAAACCCTTGTTGCAAGTGGCTTGTGTACGTGAGGTCAACTACGGAGGGCGCTTGGTTGAGGTTCACGGTAACCAACGGAAAGAAGTATCTTATTTTGTGAAGCTAACGGTCTTAACTATTCCTTCCTTACAACCTATTCAAAATATGATACGTACGAATAGTCCTTCCTGTACCATCAATGGCGTGGTCATTCACAATGGTTTGGTGACACAGCAAACACAATCGAAAGCCTCAGCTGGTGAGGAAGTGCCGCGTGACCTAATACTAACCTCTAGACAACATTACGGCTTGCCGGAGGATGCTGTTGTATTTTGCAACTTTAATCAACTGTACAAGGTTGATCCGTCAACAATGCGGATGTGGGTTGAGATTTTAAAGGCTGTTCCTAACAGCGTACTGTGGCTGTTACGTTTTCCAGCAGCTGGAGAAGCTGGGGCACTTGCAGCAGCCTCGGAAATGGGTCTTCAGCAAGTCAATCGCCGTATTCTTTTCAGTAATGTCGCACCCAAAGAGGAGCATGTTAGGCGCGGTCAGGTAAGGTCCCATAGTTTCCAATAACTTTTCAATACAGGTTGCCGATGTCTGTTTGGATACGCCCTTGTGCAATGGACACACTACTGGGATGGACGTCTTGTGGGCTGGTTGTCCTGTGGTCACCCTTCCTCTTGAGACTTTGGCTAGTCGGGTCGCGGCAAGTCAACTTCATACCTTGGGGTGTCCTGAGCTTGTAGCTAGCAATCAAGAAGATTATGTTCGTATTGCAACTAAGTTGGGGAACAATCGGGAGTACTTGCAGGCAATGCGAGCCAAGGTAAGAGTTGCTTTTTTGTCGTAACTTTCGTTTGACAGGTTTGGAAGGCAAGAGAGTCATCACCGCTTTTCAGCTGCCGTAGCTACGCTGCCGACCTAGAGGCTTTGTACTACCGAATGTGGCAACAGTACGAGGCCGGCACAATAGACCACATCGTAGAGTGGCCCTCAAAGTCCAACAAGGAGAATGCCTAGTTTACTTAATGTGTTCTTTTCACCTGTAAATATATCATTTATTATCATCACTGCTCTGTTTCTTTGATATGACACCTGAGAAGTTATAATGTTAGTTGTTTACTGTGTGGTGTGGCTCTGGTAAACTAATGGGGTTATTTGATGGAGTAGTTTCCAGTTGCGTTTATTCTGTTGGGTAAGGTTTTTCTTCATGAAGTGTGTCACCATCTTTGTACCTGTAAGGTCGAGATACGTAGTTCAGCTTGGTTTCGCATAGAGAGCTAGGTTTTGTGTCTTGACACGATCGAAGATGTTCTCACGTGAATGAGGGAGTTCCATGTGAGTCAGGCGTATTTGTGGAGACGAAGTAATTGCTGATCCGCTTTCGTAGGGACACTGTGGATTACGATAGTCTTGTTATTGAGTTATTTTAATCAGTTGTAGTTGCTAGGTTTATGTGCCTACAGCTTGAGGATTTTCCCTTTAGTTGGTCGCATTGCATATAGTTGCAGTAGGAGCTTGTTGACAGCTTACTGCTATACAAACATCAGTATACTAACCAGAATCTAGTCTGTTTTGAAGACTAATGGTTTGTCAACTTGAAATTAGGTATAACTAATTCAATTTTAGCTTTCTGAACAACAGGAATGTAAACTTAAACGATCGAGGTTGACATATAGTGATAAGGTGATATACAGCCCATGATCTATAGTGCTTTAGGAGTTGTCCTCTTTGTGAACTTGTAATGAACCTTCAGGGCCAAGTGTTGCATAAAAGTTAACTGCCAATATTGGCGGATAAGTCCTTTTTAACCGATAGATGCATGTCAATTAACGAAGCCGCATATTCCGAGCATAACTGTAGGCAAGAGACTGACTTGTGGTAATATCATTACCTAGATAGTTCCTTCAACTCCTTCTCGCGAATTAAGCCAGATAAAAACCGTTCTTGGTCTCTTGACACCACATTGACAATCCCAACGTCCGAGCCTCATCACAAATGGGTTGGGAAGCCTCGCCAGTTGTAGCTCTGTCATCCCAAACCTTGGGTGTATTTAGCATCTCTGAAACACATGCAGACAGTGTAGTTATTCGCTCATTCCCGGCTAAGTAACATAGTAGGTAGTTCTCGCCGACTTTCGGGTTTGTGAACTGTATTGAATTAGTGAGCGAAGAATTTGCTGCTCCCGTGGATCTTAGTAGAGAGTCGTTTGTGTGCTGTCCGGCTGCGTGGGTATTGTATCAGATTTGGAGGTAGCCCTGTCAGACTACCGGTGTTTATCATTGATTACCCAACTCTATTTGGAAAGAAGCAAATCTAGCTGTGGTAGCCACGGTAGGACTAGCTTGAGGAACACAGCATGTACGATTCTACGTTTCATACTCGTGCAAAAACTAGGTAGGCTTTGGAGAGATCGACACTCATGAGGCACAAGCATTCTTCCAACAAGGATGAGGGTGCATTGACTACATCTTTGTTATTCAACAGAGCCCTGAATACAAGCACATATACCGGCGTCCATTAGCTTAAATGTCTCTCGACAATCCGTTCATGCCGCATCAGTACCTGGCTGTAGACGAAATGTCGAGAAAGTACGTTATGCTAACCAAGGCACACCTATCGAACTGATGCATCTGTTTAGGAATGTATACACAACATTCGTGGTAACTGTATACTATCTGAATTCATTGGTGGTATTTAATTTCTTTGACGAATTACTAATTTTGAACGCACCTTTCACATTTTAGTGAAAATACGCTCCTATATATTGTGTCTAACTAAATACTCTATATCATGGCTCTGTAAGATCGGTGCATTCTCCCCTAATTTTCTCATGCTCCGTGTTGAATCCGTAATTACGTAAAGTGATTCTTGGTCCAAGAATGGCCTGGCTCTCGTATTACAAATTATCTGGTGGAATCTCACCAAATTTTGACACTACCAATGTTACGTCCAGTGATACACTTTCAATCACTAATGTTATTTTTTATACACCATTTTTGTGTCATTTAGACCATATGTGTTTCACAATACTGTTATGCATCTTTCGTTCGAACGAGGATTTTTGTTATCTGGGAGGCATTTTGTGTTCAGAAATAGTGTTCTTATCGTTTGGATGCGGAATAGTCTTACAACTGAAAGTTTGTATTTTTTAGATGAAACTTAATTTTGGTTCTACCGGTAATCTTGCAAATTCTGCTGCAGGTTTTTCACTGATTAGAAGAATCAGCTTTTCAGGTTTCGTCGGAGAATTATATCCGCTTTTTTTTGTTACTGGTGAATTGACTGTAGCAGTTGTTGCAGTTTTGTGAGCTTTAATTTTAACTGTCTGAATAATTATCCCATGAGTTCAGCACAACTGGCCTCATAGGTTTCTTTCGACTTCATGTACGGCATCCTACTAAATATGTATTATCAGTTTGCGTGTAGTTCGGTATTTATTTGTTTGTGTTCATATGAGTGTTTAATTTTTCGATATTTAACTAAGGGAAACTTTAAAGCTAGCTCAGAATGAAAACGGTAGAGGAATTAACGAAAAGTTGGAGAAATGTAGAGGAAATAATCTATAATAATGAGATACTCTCATAGAATATATTCTGTCCCACTTATCTTTGCTACATTTCTGGCGGTACGTTCGAAATTGGTGACATATTTGCACGGATGAGGATAAAGATTATCGTGATATATTATCGCGCACTGTATGGGTTATCGCGTTCGCGTCTATAGAGGCGTTATAATAGTTCAGTTTTGCAAAGCTAGATTACATTTGACTCGTTTTAGGCTTCTGTAGCCGAAAAAAGCAATATTTTTCTGTATTGTGTTCGTAATAATGGGTAAAGTTGTCTTGATATCCCAGATGGTTTGTTACTAACAAAAGTCATCCTTTATAAGAAATTTCGCATGGAAAGACGATTATTTGCGTCTCAGAGCCTTAAAGCTTTGTTATTTGCGAGTTTTCATAGATCTTAAGGTTGTAAATTGACTACAGACAATGGTTGTTGTCATAGCAGTTATTCTATGAGAATCGGCCGTTTGAAAGAGAAATAGCCCTCAGACATACGTTAGATATACGTTTTGAGGATGTTAAACACTTTCGTTATCATCCGTGATGATTCAAATATTCCATAACATATAGAAGCGATCATGCGGTGAATGAGACAAGCTGCTGGATTTCCTGGTGATTATATCCATTTCGATGAAGTTCCTAGTAAATATTATTCAGGCAAAGATGTGATACTAGTTTAATTTACATTTGCACATGGAATTTCAGAAGACCATAATTGCTCAGTGCAGAAAATGGCATCAGATTATGTTGATAGTATGGATGGTCCTTCTAAAATGTCAGACTGCCAAAAATCAGTATAAGCTTTCTGTCGAATAGTAGCTAGCAGCTGTGTCCTACAACTACTACACCTGTTACTTAAGTTATACCAGTGTTAAGAATTATTCATTTTCAGATCATTAAGTTATTCTGAGATCCTTAATGAATTACTTGTGGCTATGAAGGATATGGAAGGTGCACTTATGGCTCATATCTTTAAAGCATTTATTATTAAACAAGTTATCTGTAGGGATTTTGTTATGCTGAGGTTACAATGCTTGAGTGTATGTAGTTACTTCATGCTATTGTGCGTGAAGGGACAGTTGGTGAAAATGAAGAAAGAATAAAGTTTCCTATAAACTCACTATGAATACTGCAAACTGTTGATAAGAAACTGCATCAATGGAAAAAATTCCGAACAGCTAGAAAATATTACAGCAGTTTCGATGATTATAACCTTTTACATTTGTAAATCATCTTTCCAAATTTCAGAATGACGGCAAAACATCAAGGCTACCACATAGGCCCTACAGAAATTCGTGAGAGATCTTACATGTCAGGTTGTCTTACGAATTCTAAGCTTGCAGATCTTTCAATTTACTTGTCACTGAAATATCACTTACCCAAATATAGTGTTCATTGTGAAGGGTTTGCACTTTAACATTTGTGATAACCTGTTCTAATTGCTTGTACAGTAACTGAACAATCTAAATTTTTGAAAAAGTATTAATTTATGATACTTCACGATTGCAATTTATGACATAACTTATTGCGCCTGTAGAAATGGTATGCATTCTTTGTAAACACCCGTTTATACGACATATTAAATTATTATTTGCTTAGTGCTATACTTTAGAAGATGAACAATGTGTGTGACAGTGAAAACCACAGAAGAATGCTGTCATGACCAAAGAATGAGAAAGAATAATGAACCTTTTTCGGCAAAGGTAGGCAAATATAAATCGCTTAACTTTTACATTACTTTTTTCTAACTTCAGCGATTTAAAAAGTACACTTTATTCACTTATTGGCAGATGTCCGGAAACGTCAATCAACCTGGTCACAGCAATTCGACATCGCCGAAATAATTACGGAAAACAATTGTGTAAAGACATTTACTTGTTATTATTTTTCATTAAATATATTTAACATCCTGCTTACCATACTTTTCTTATTCTATCTGAGTGAAACTAAATTTGTCATCATGACGAGATGGAGGCCTGACTGATCAATGAGACCTGAGAAAGTAACTGTTGGTATAATTCAACGTAAGCGAAATCTTACTACGATTGCTACAGCTCAACCTATTTAATTATTCGTCTCGTGTACACTCCGTCTTACACCATACGTTAACACCAGTAATCATATGGATTGACATCATGCTTTAAGTGAAATAATAGCAATGCACTACTTTTGAATACACTTAGCCTTATACGAAATCGAACCCCACTGCAGTGCCTAAGTTCTATTCTTATTTTTCAAATACTGAAGTTAGGTATTTTTGTCATTGGTCCCTACAGATTTACCTATGACTAGGAGACGTATTCGCGTAACCTTAGGCAGATGTTTAGGCTTGACTAAAGTACTTATAATTCACCACTTATACCGATCGATAGTGTTCCTGCAGAATTACACTGACGTCTAGTAAGAAGTTCATATCCTAGAGAGTAGCGGTCTAGCATGCCGTACTCCCACTGCAAGTATATCAAGTAGAACACAAAAATATTAGATAGAAAATTTTATTTCGCTGCAAC